TGAAAGACAGACTTTACTGGAAGAAAAAAGTTCATTTCTCTTCATGGCTTGAGGGTTACCTTTTTAAAAAACATTAATGAGTGCTGAGTTTTATCATATACTTTTACCAAATCTTTCAAGATTGTTTTCCCTAAATCTTACCATATAAATTACATTGATATCATTTTCAAATATTCAACTATCCTTACATTCTTATTCTAATTAAAATTTTTCAAGAAAAAATAAAATAATAAAATTTTTATCTCTGTTCATAAATGAGATTGAATGTAATATATTTTCCCTTGTATATTCTTTTCAGTTTAGGTTTCAAGGCTAAATTTGTCTGATAAACAACAGGGCAGCTCTCCCTCTTTTTCTATTATCTGGGTCACTTTGTATAAAATTGGGATTACCTGTTCCCCAAAAGTATATGTGAAATTATGATTTTACAAAATCACAATTAAAACTACTCCTTCTGATACTACTTCACACCAATTTTAGGATGGCTTTAATCAAAAAGAGAGATAATGAAAATGTTGGTGAGGGTGTAGAAAAACTAGAACCTTCATACATTGCTGGTGGGAAAGTAAAATGGTACAGTTGCTCTGGAAAACAGTCTGGTAGCCCCCCAAAAGGTTAAACAGAGTTACCATATAACCCAGCAATTCTACTCCTAGGTATACACCCAAGAGAAATGAAAACACATGTTCACACAAAATCTTTCACACAAATGTTGGTACCAGGACTATTCATAATAGGCAAAAAATAGGAAAAAAATCCAGATATCCATCAACTGACGTGGTATATCCACACAATGAAATAATATTTGGCCATAAAAAGCAATGAAGTATATTGATACATGCTACAACATGGCTGGACCTTAAAAATATTACGCTAAATGAAAGAAGTAAACCACAAAAGGCCATAAACTGAATGATCCCATTGTGTGAAATGTGTAGAACTGGCAAATCTATAGAAACAAAGAGTAGATTAGTGGTTGTCTAAGGCTTGAGGGTTTGTGGAGAATTGGGACTGACTGCTAATATGTACATGGTTTCTTTCTGAGGTGATGAAAATATTCTAAAATTGACTGTGGTAATGATTGAACAGTTCTGTAGAAATATTAAAAACCATTAAATTGTACATTTTAAATGGGTAGGTGGTATGGTTTATGAACTATAGCTCAATTAAGCTGATATTTAAAAAAACTTCTTCTTGGGGAAATTTACTATAGCGTCAATGTCTTAGTGGTTTTTAGTTTCTATGGGTTTTCTTTTTCTTGTACAATTTTTGAATGACTTTTTCCCTATTTTCTTGTACAATTTTTGAATGACTTTTTCCCTAGAAAACACCAGGTTTTTAAAATTTATATACACATAAATTAAGTGATTTCTTATGGTTTTAAAAATTATAATTACTACTTGTAATTATATCCCATTTTATAACTTTATTATTTGTGTCATCTGCTTCTTGGTGAGTACTTCCAGAACTTAATCAACTGAAAAGAACCAGCTTCAATTTGAATGAACACTGCTACTATTTCTATTGTTGATTACTTTTTATTTCATCAAATTCTACTTTTATTTTCATTTCCTCTTTCCTTCTTTCTTTGGTTTTACTTTTTTTAATTTTTTGAGCTGTATATCCGGGTCACTTATTTTCTTTCAACCTAATACATGCATTTAAGGTTATACGTTTACCCCTAAGCACCATTTTTCTTATATCCCTCAAGTTCTGATACAATGCTTTTGTTGTGATTCAGTTCTAATTATTTCATAATTTCCACTATTTTTTTTAATCCTTGAAAATTCTTAGTCATTTTTTCTTCAATATTGCTTCTCTACCATTCTCTGTATTCTCTCTTCTGAAACTCTAATTAGAGATACGTTGGAGCTTTTCAATCTATTTCTAAGGTGTCTTCGTTTTTCTTTTCTATTTTTCATTTCTTTATCTCCCTGTGCTCTAGTCCTGGAAGAGTTAACCAGTTTTATCTTGAAATTAACAACTTCTCTCTTTAGCTACATCTAATCTTCTATTTTGCCCAATGATTTTTAAAAATTTATTTATTTTATTTATTTATGTTTGGCTGCATTGGGTCTTTGTTGCTGCACGTGGGCTTTCTTTCGTCGCGGCGAGCGTGGACCACTCTTCGTTGTGGTGCACGGGCTTCTCACTGCGGTGGCTTCTCTTGCTGTGGAGCATGGGCTCTAGGTGCGTGGGCTTCAGTAGTTGCGGCGCACGGGTTTAGTTGCTCTGTGGCATGTGGGATCTTCCCAGACCAGGGATCGAACCCGTGTGCCCTGCATTGGCAGGCAGATTCTTAACCACTGCACCACCAGGGAAGTCACCCAATGATTATTTTATAACTAGATATATTTTTCATTTTCAAGATTTCAATTGGTTAATTTATATATCTACATATATTTTTTTCTTGATTGTTCTTATTCAATTATAATGGAATATGCTCTGAATAATAAAAAAGGAATAGATATACTTTAATCTAATATACTTTTAGGTGAAATGTTCTTTGAAAAGTTCTCCATTATAAAATTCTTTAATGTAAAAAAAAAATACTTCTTAAGAGTTCTCTTGAATGCTATTCTACCGAATGTTATCCCATTGTGCCTACCTGCATCAAGGCATGGAAAGAATAAGTCCTATTATTGCCATTTTAGAATTAGAGAAACTGAAGCACAATAAAGTTCTTTATAAAATACTTTCTCCCCAACTTTTCTTTGAAAAATACCAGAGCCACAGAAAAGTTCAAAGTACAATGTATACCACCGTACCCTTCACCTAGATTTAAAATTGTTAAAATTTTCCAGATCTGCTCTCTCTCTCCTTTTCTCTCTCTTTACATACACATATCACCACATCCAGATACCCACACACCTTTCTTTTGAACTCATCATGATATTTCACTTCTAAATATTTCAGCATGCATCTCTACAGAACAAGGGCATTCTTATACCATATCACACTAAAAAAGCCAGGAGACTGAAGAGTCGGCAGATTCAAATCAAACACTTAAATCATCTGACTAACTGTTCTTCATTTTGGCTTGTCTAATTAGACCTGAAGTGGTTCTCTGGTGATTATTTAGAAGTGACAATCTGTCAAAAAGCATTTCCTTCCTTCAGTGACCTTGAAATCAGATTTCATTTACTGCTTCATCAGACAGGTATCTTAAATCCAAGCATTTCTGAAAAAAATCAAGCAATAATCTTCTAAGATATTCCAACCTCAAAAATCAAGTATACTACTACACAGAGTCTTAAAGTGAATACAATCGAATTAACATTCTCAAAGCTATACATTCTTTTCTAATGTGCAATGGAAGTTTATAGTGTATTAAACAATTACAATTTCACTATACCAGCTGTGAAGGAAAAAAGTTGTTGTTCTTAAGAAAAATACACAGTACAAACAGGATTGATTAGCCAAATGAACCCGCTTTATAAATGAAAAAACTGGCAAGTATATTTGTGATTCTACATGAAAACTAATTTTTCAATGGGCACGATTTAATCTCAGTCACTAAAGTTAGTAACAGTAAGATAACACAATAAAATCCTACCCTTGCTCTCAAAGACCATACAAGTCAGCTTAACAGTTTTACATCAGAAGAAATAACAATCAATACAACCTGCAGCTAATATTTAAAGCTAAACTGTGTCATACAGATAAGAATTATACCTACAATCACAGAAATATTTAAGATCAAACTACAATCAAATAATAGCTAATAAGAGAAGCTACAATGTGCCACTAGGCACTAAGTACATTCCAAGAATTAGTTAATTCAATCCTCATAACTATCTCACTTTTCCACTGGAGAAGCAGAAATAACGGAGATGCCAGCATAAAAGGATTTATGTAAGGGGTAGGACCTGACCTCAACCTTAAAGTATAGAGAAGAAGAATGAAAAGAGGGTCATTTCAAGAAAATGGAAAAGCACAAGCCAAAGCATAAATATGAGAAGTTTCAAATTGAAGAAATTAAGGCTGGATAAATAGGATGGGATTAGATTATGGGAGGCCCTAAGTACCCAGCAAATGGATGAAATTTTATAAACAGCAAGAGCACGGCACCACTACAGGTCTTTATGTGCTATAAGTGGCCTTTTAACAATGGTAACCTGGTAACAATGCAGAATGAGTGAGAGAGAAATGGGAAGCAAGGAACTCTGTCCAATTCTAACATTTACATAAATAAATCGGGTTTGTACATGAGGAATCACAGAGCTCACAGTGAACCAACTATGTCATCCCTTCACATCAATAAGCCAATCCATTATGAACAATGAAGTGGTAAGTATAATTGCAACACACCCTGAATTATTTCCAAAGATACCTTCAATGAAATTAAAAGGTACATTGAAAACTAGGTCAGTAAGAAGTAAAACTATTCTTGCTGTTTAGTACTGTGCCAAAAGAATTTGGCCGAATTTGACATAAGCAGAAATTTTACAGTATAAGTATCTACTTCAATAAAACAAACATCACAAATAAAGGAATTAAAATAATTCAACATATAGCTTCCTCACACTGCTTTAGAACTATTACACTATTTATCAAAAGGTAATAAATATATAATTTTTATAAGCAGCTATTATGTAAATGTATACTTTAAAATTAATGTTACATTTATTCATGTACCCATTAAGCACTAGGTATTTATCATCCATACAATAAATTCTATAATCCACATCAAACTTACAAAAAGAGGCTATCCCAAACAACTTCCTCTCTTTGTAATTAAATGAACTCCTAAAGAGAAGAAATGTGGGGAAAAAAATCTTAAGTCTGTGAAAACTAGATTACTTACCAGCAACTTGAGTTATCCTATTGGGTCTTTTCCCTCACAGATCCACCTCTCTTGCCCTTCTGTCCAGCATGAGAATCTTCCTGATGGGCATCCACTGGAACTGAGGGGGCATGCAGTACAGACGCATATGTAAGAAAGTTGGGGGGAGGGGATTTGGGAGATGCTAGAGACATGCTTCAGTGTGCTTGCTTACCTTCCTGAAATTGGAAATTTCAACGGTCCCTTGGTCCTCGAGGCATTCACAATAACTTCAAAGAATGTGGATCTGTGGAGATTACCCAATAGGAGAACTCCAGTTACTGGTAAGTGATCCAGCTTTTTCTTCTCTATCAGAATAAGAAAATTATTTAAATTCATGTGAGATTATTAATACATGTAGAAATACAGGGGACAGAGTTGTAAATTCATCAGATTATTATATATGAATGCACCAAAGTAAATACAGAAACAATGTGCTAATTATGAGGTCAACAGAAACTTCTGGCATTATCAGAGACACAAGGAAAAGAAAATGATTTGAATGGTTTCATTTGAAAATCTCCACTGTAACAACAGCTATATTTTAATATATAAAAAATCAGCTATCAGACTATTCTATCTCACTAAAACACCACCATCATTTTTTAATATTAGTAAAGGATAATTAGTTGATCAAAACCTACCATTTCTTAACTAGCCATTGTCATTAACATTGCTTGAATTTTGGTGTAGAGGCCACCACAGTGGATTAACAATCTGTAAGACTTCAGATAAAAAGCATCAATGCAATTCCCATTCATCACTCAATAAGTCTTTAAAATAACCATTTGTCACCTACAACAAACCAACCACATACACATATATAAGTATGTCCACAAAAAAAAAAAAAAAAAGTATGCCAGGCCACTGATAAACAACGATGCTGATTTTAATGTAAATAATTGTGCAAAGTAGTACAGTAATATTTTTGATTAACTGTTATATTTTTTATTTTTATAGCAATAAATTATTTTATTTTACTTAATTTTTTCCATTTCATTTACTTTTTTTTACATCTTTACTGGAGTATAGTTGCTTTACAGTGTTGTGTTAATTTCTGCTGTATAACAAAGTGAATCAGCTATATGTATACATATATCCCCATATCCCCTCCCTCTTGCATCTCCCTCCCACCCTCCCTATCCCACCCCTCTAGGTGGTCACAAACCACCAAGCTGATCTCCCTATGCCTATGCAGCTGCTTCCCACTAGCTATCTATGTTACATTTGGTAGTGTATATATGTCAATGCTACTCTCTCACCTCCTCCCAGCTTCCCCTTCCCACCTGTCCCCGATGTTATACTTTTTAAATTGGACCTGTCATTGTAAAACAAAAAACTATTTCTAACAGAAGAAAAGTCTCCTCAACAGAACTTTATTTCAGGTTCACATGAAGACTGCCTTTACCTTTAATTCAATACATATTAATCAGGTACATGTTCATTTTAATGTGCTAGAGCAGTGATGACTTCAAACACTAGTTCTTACTGAAGATACAGATACGTTTCAGTTATAGTCTTCTCTGCTACCATTATGCTCCTATTTAATAATTACCCCCTACCTTCAAGAAGCATATGGTTTCATGGTTCTTCGTTCTAAGGAAAAAATTAAAGATAATGTATAGCTTTTCCTTTAAGAGTAAACAGGATAAAATTGTGTATAAAATCATTACTCAACAAAAACAAACTGAAAATGTAATTCTAATGAAAATCTTAAGTGTCAATCTTGTTATAAGGTAATATTTATATTTAGTAAAGGTTGACAGCACCATGTCAACCGATTTTTCCTAGATTCCCACTTAAAGATACAAATTGTCTTGGATAAATTATATCCATTTTTATATAAATCTGAGTTTTAAAAAATAATAGTAATTAATACATTAGCTATTTTTTGGATGAGTTAGGATCCTTTGTTTTTATTTTTCTTTTCATTTTTTTTAACATCTTTTTGGGAGTATAATTGCTTTACATTGTTGTGTTAGTTGCTGCTGTATAACAAAGTGAATCGGCTATACATATACATATATCCACATATCCCCTCCCTCTTGTGTCTCCTTCCTACCCTCCCTATCCCACCCCTCTAGGTGGTCACAAAGCACCCAGCTGATCTCCCTGTGCTATGCAGCTGCTTCTCATTAACTATCTATTTTACATTTGGTAGTGTATATATGTCAATGCCACTCTCTCACTTCATCCCAGCTTACCCTTCCCCCTCCCCACATCCTCAAGTCCATTCTCTATGTCTGCGTCTTTGTTCCTGTCCTGCCCCTAGGTTCTTTAGAACCTTTATTTTAGATTCCATATATATGTGTTAGCATACGGTATTTGTTTTTTTCTTTCTGACTTACTTCACTCTGTATGACAGACTCTAGGTCCATCCACCTCACTACAAAAAACTCAATTTTGTTTCTTCTTATGGCTGAGCAATATTCCATTGTATATGTGCCACATCTTCTTTATCCATTCATCTGTCAGTGGACACTTAGGCTGCTTCCATGTCCTGGCTATTGTAAATGGTGCTGCAATGAACATTGTGGTACATGTCTCTTTTTAAATATGGTTTTCTCAGGGTATAATGCCCAGTAGTGAGATTGCTGGGTCATATGGTAGTTCTATTTTTAGTTTTTTAAGGAACCTCCATACCGTTCCCCGTTGTGGCTGTATTAATTTACATTCCCACCAGCAGTGCAAGAGGCTTCCCTTTTCTCCACACCCTCTCCAGCATTTACTGTTTGTAGATTTTTTGATGGTGGCCATTCTGACCGGTGTGAGGTGATACCTCATTGTAGTTTTGATTTTCTTTTCTCTTATGATTAGTGATGTTGAGCATCCTTTTATGTGTTTGTTGGCAATCTGTATATCTTCTTTGGAGAAATGTCTATTTAGGTCTTCTTCCCATTTCTGGATTGGGTTGTTTGTTTTTTTGATATTGAGCTGCATGAGCTGCTTAATGCATTAGCTTTTAAATGACCCACTCAGGCAAACAGGGGCACTACACAGAACTCCATTTCTAACTGTAATACAGAGATAAATGACAAAAGGGCCATCTAGCTAACTAGATTCCTAGTTAACATCTGTTCCCTGAAAAGTAAGCAAGTACATGGCATGAAGGTTCTACGTGTTTGGATTGATGCAACAGATACAGGAGAAATAATCCAAATATTTTATCCTTATGGTATAAGCTAGTATAAAAGTTGTCATTAAGAATTAAATGATAATTTCCAATTTTAATTTATAGTAACACATGCAGTCTCCATTTAGACTCAGATCTTATGAATTGAAAATAAAATCAAGTGCATTTTAAAAATAATTTGAGAATCAAAATATCTTGAAAATATTTTAAGGTAACCAAAAGGTTCACTTAAGAGACCAGCATTCAAAGCTGTTTGTTGTTGTTATCATAGCATAAGCTCAACTAAGATGGATTTTATCAGAACAGCTGAGAAAAGAAATTCCAGAAATTAGGTTACTCTATTCAAAAGTATCCTCTGTAAGCTCTAATAATTGTCACGCCCATCCACAAAAAGGTACTCCTTAGTAATCAAGAACCTAATCAAGTGTTTCACTAATGAGAATCTACTGCATAAAATCAATTTGAACTTCTGAAAAAACTGTTCAGAAAAAAAGAGTTATTTAGCTAACTTTCACTTCCACTACTACCCATTAGTTTAGACATTATATTTTGGCCGGAAGCAACTTAAATTAGAGCTGGCTTTGTGATTCCAAGTACATTATTTTCTAACTTTCAATTAAGATTTTAAATTCTAATGTAAGGTATTATAGCTGTGGAAAGTTGTTCGTGGTAAATCCTGGACTTGAAATCCTTTAGCAGTGTAATAAAATTCAACATTATACATATATTCACACATATTTCAGTGACATTATTGATGGTTCATAAATATGGGGGGATGTGTGTACCTCAGTTAACCAAAATAAGGTCAAAAGTGAATTATACACTTACTTACTAAATAATGTTATTTACAGAAACTGTCATCCTGTTTTGCTCCTTAAACAGCTCATCAGATAATCCGTTTCTTAATTAAATTTTCCTTTCCTTCAGCCTTATCCACTACTTAGCTCTACATGAACCCATAGAGAAACAAACAAAAACAGTACTATTTTCTTAACATAAATTAACCTAAAATCAAGATGGAAAAAACTGTATTTATCTGTAAAATAGGGGTAACAGCAGAACCTACTTCACAGAACAATTGTGAGGATTAAGTTAATAAAAATATAAGTAATGCATTTAAAAACCATGCCTGGAATCTAACCATATATCAAATTGTAACATAACCACCCAGAAACGGAATTATTTTCAAATGATTTTATATATCTTTAAAGAACTATTAAAAAATTCTAAGTTTAGAGATTTAGTGTTTGTATTAATTTTGGTACAGTTGGCTCTCTTTATCCAGGGATTCTGCATCCACAGATTCAACCAACCATACATCAAAAATATTTGGAAAAAAAATTCCACAAAGTTCCAAAAAGCAGAACATGCTAACAACTATTTACATAGCACTTATACTGTATTAGGAATTATAAGTAACCCATAGATGATTTAAAGTATATGGGAGGATGTATGTTGGTTTATGTTTAACTCCTATACCATTTTAGTAAGGGACTTGAGCATCTTCAGATTTTGGTAACCAAGAGGGTCCCAGAACCAATCCCCCACAGATTCCAAGGGATGACTGTACTATTATTTTGGGACTATATTCTTTATATTGCAAGATAAAGAAAATAAGTAATTTATGGTATTGATTAGGAATCATGATGTGCAGCATGAAAGATATAAGAACACATGAATATTGAAAATGCAAATACCACTTATAAAAATACATATAATTTGGAAATAGTTAAGGAAACATTCTAGACAGTAGTTACTAAGTAAATCACTATCATTAACCTACCAATATATAAATTATATCTGCTAATATTAAAAAATCAGCCATTCCATTAGATTTACTAGTAAAGAGAGCTCCTCAGACCGTTAAAGTTGCCAGAAACATTTACAGAAATCATTTTCAATGTTCCAATACCTAATTTTTATTTATAAGCTAGAATTTTAGAACTGCAACTGCTGACAAATTCTAAAAGGAAAGTATGAGAAAAATAGTACATATTCATGTTCTTGACTGACATTAGACAGTAAAGATACTAATATTCAATCTGTTCAGAAAAGCTGAAGTTGGAGGGATGCTAGCAGGTAAGCTCTAGGTCCCTAGAACCCCTGCTCTAGAC